GAAGAACGGGTCTCCACAGATCTCCCGCAAGATGCTGCTCCTGCGGTTTCCTCAGGGTGTTTGAACGCAGGGATCAGCCCCTGCACACTTCGTAAGTTACAATTTTAAAGCATTGCAATGTTCTTTGCAAAGTGATTTTTCAAGGAGCATCAGGAGTATATGTCTGATGAGGAGTGTCTCGTTTTGATACTTCTCTTGGTTGGGAAGAATTGTCATGGCTGATGGTTGCCTATTTCAACTTTGAATTTCCTTGACTTGAGCCAGCAGGACGATCTCATGGTCCTGTCCGTCACCATATCCAAGACTCCCATGCGACGTGTGGTGAAATTGGAAGCATCATCGCGGCTATTACCCTCGTGTGTTCGGCGGCCTTGGCAGATGCTGCAGGTATCCATGAACTCAGCATTTGAGTCCAATCCAGACGACGCAGAATGCCCTCTGTGCTTTGACATTGTTTTGGAAAAGAGTGGTCGGAGTATGTCCGAGTCGGGGTTCGGCCTTTTTTTTGCATATCGGTATATAATGGTATTTAATGACACTGTATACGTGATATCTAATAATATATTGGTATTGTAATTAGCCGAGGAAGCTTCTGGACAAGACAGATTACACTGAGATGCTCCGGAACATGGGGAAAGCAAGGGAGGACTACCTTGCCGAGAGCATCCTGGAGGCTACTGCATACATCACCTATATCGACCAGGGAGGAACGGAGGCTGGATGGAATCAGTTGTCACCTGAAGAACGAAATCAACTCAGAGTGATCAAGGATCCTGTCAAATTCCTACAAGGAAGTGATTGGTGCTTCGAGGATTTCCAAATGGACCCTGGGTTGTCACGTCGACCTGTGTGGAATGACCTCCCTCTGATCTTCCTAGGCTACACGGTGAAGATTTCGATAGAGGACACACAACGTGATAGGTGCATGCAACAGTGCATCGAGCATCTCCTTTTGCAGAATTACATGGTTCCCAACAGCTTGCCTGACAGCAGTGAATGCCATATTGGTCACTTGCTACATGGAATGGTCACACTGGTCAAGAAATACCACAGCTCAAAAAGTCCCTGGACTCGCAACGTTTGCATTTTGGACTTGTCAGATGCAAAGAAATCCAGGCTTCAGAATTTGGTCCTCGACGACATCGCCTTAGTATTTGTCATAGCGTCCTCACGATCACATTGGGCACTAGCTGCTGCACATGAAGCTGATGCTCGTGTGGTGATCTATGATGGAAAGCAAAACAATTTCATTCATCAGAAGGTGTTGGACTGGGCCAAGCAGGTTGTGGAAGGCGAATGTGACATCGTCTACGCAGACGTGCCTAGCCAGAGAGACAACTGGAGCTGTGGACAACGAGTGCTCTTGGCTACCGAGTACATTCTTCAGGAAATCTTCATCAACCGCGAAAGTGCCCTTCCTTTGGTTCTGCCCCACGACTTTGCATCGCAGGAGAATATTCAACGCTTGAGCACTTCAACACTTGAGATGGGACCTCCAATAGAAACCAAGAAAGAGTCCATGCCTGCGCAGAAGTCCCAGCCCAAGCTCATCAAGCGGCAGCAGACTGAGGCAGCGCAGCCCAGTGAGTCAGTGTTCAAGCGACAGAAGGCTGAGCCAGCGCAGCCCACTGAGCCAGAATTGAAGCGACAGAAGGTTGAAAGTGCCCGAAGAGCCAAAATTGAACCTCCAAAAGATCGAAGAGATCAAGCTCCAGGCACCCCTCCACCGGATGAGAAAAAGAAGAGAAGTGTGGACAATGACTCGCCCGATAATGGAAATGAATCTTGGCTCGGTCACAAGCTTTGGGAATCAATCCAGGATCCATTTCAAAACAATTTGGATAGTTCTGGAAATATTATAACATATTATAACATATTGTAATGAACCCTAGACCAGGCATCACACAAGCACATGAAAACATAGACTTTTTAGCCTGAGTTTGGAGAAGTTACATTTGTTTTCCACTATGTTACTCTAGAAGGCCGGCAGGGAGAACACTGTGTGATACAAAATGTAACTAAGTGTGTCCCA